AAAGTTTCACTTTACAGACTAAATACAACAATGAACCGTCTGAAATTGTCTAGAAAACGGACAAAATGATCACTGTTCGCTCACAATCTGTGTTGGATGTCTGATACAGGCATTTTTGACGACTTCGATCAACTTTTGCCAACTACTGTATGAGGGCATTATCAAAAATACAGAGCCTGAGTGTGAAGCACTGAGCACCTTGAATGAGATTTCCATTGCTGACAATGGATGGCTTTGGCAGCACTGTATTTTGGGACTTTTTTCCAGAAATGCATGTACACGAAGAAAGAGAAGTTTTGTCATAACATCCAGATCCATTGCATGTATTAATGCTAATTATGATTTACGCGAGGGAACAAAAAAATTTATGCCACACTTTAACTTGACATTAAATTGGAAAAATTAAAAGAGGAGAACGAAAGAGAAAGCGTTGGCAAGTCAAGCTACTGGTACATGTATGACTAAAAAATGGTTTTTCCTCAAACTGCATCACCAAACCAAAGCATTTAATGCAAAAACTAATTCCTCATTCATGAGACATTAACTGGCAGATTTTTCAGAAGTAGGGCATTACCGATACCCCATAAAAGGACGTTTGAAAGGTACGTGCCCAAATTTTGGTGACATACATGTAGGTTTTACTACAGCCGATCCAACTCATTTGCAGACAACATTGTTCACGTTGCTTCAGAGACATCCGATGTTCTTCATATTATTCCCTGTAGTATTTTAGTCACACATTCAGCTAGTGAGAATGAACTCATTAAAAATTTAGTTTAGTTAAGAACAAATTTTGGTCAAAGTATCGTACTTCCGGTATGTGAATGAATTACATGTATGGTGACTTGTGGATACATGTACATGTATGTGTATGTACATGTACTTGTACATGATGTTTATGATGTACATGTACAGTACTGGTACAGTGTACGTACATGTACATGGTTTGTACATGTACATGGTGTACATGTACATGTACATGGTGCACATGTACATGTACATGTACCGGTACAGTGTACATGAACATACATGTATGTACAGTGTACCGGTACATACATGTACATGTACAGTGTAGATGTACCGGTAGGCCTAACCTGTACATGTACATACCGCTACATGTATACCAGTATACTGTATCTGTTGGAACTCCATTTTACACTAGGCATTTAACAAGTTCAAAAGAACTTCAACACTGCAGTTTTTATTTCTACGGATGACCAAAGGGACAATCCCTCTAGAGGTCAGGAGGGAGAAATACATGTACATGTATTCTTCCCCCCTTCCATTTACATGTACATCCAAGGGGGAATTCAAGGTTCCCTACCCCCTCCCCCAAAAGTTGGGGAAAACAAAATTGTCACTAGCTAAAGTTGTGGTGAGGAACATGTACATGTACAAACCAAAGACCCGTTTAGGGACAGATGAGATTAGTAATGGCCGAAGCAACTACATGTATAAGCCAGTAATTGTCCAGAACACTCATCAATTTTGTGGAGTGGATCGCAGTGTACCACCATTTATGAGTGACTTCCTGAGGTGAAAGCAGACAGGGTTGCACTCCATTAAATAAACTGCTATTGGACAACAACAGTAAATGACTCCATGGCAAGGCATTACGAGAAATAATCTAGGTGAGACCTACATCAAATTAAAGCTAATTTCCTCATCTTTTATTTTCTGAAACATTCAATTTGTGGTGGCAATGTATTTAATAGCATGTCACTGTAGGTTCACTCCCACCACTTAGTTTTGCTTTATTGTTCAGGGTCAAACACTGAACGCCAGCACCGCTTTTGTGATGGAAACAAGATGCCTGATGTACCGGTAATCTGTCTGTTATTCAGTCATGTAATGCAGAAACAGCTTTTTTCAAGCAGTGCGATTCGTTGATTTCCTGTGTTACCCTAAAACAAATCATTTTTGCATCCGGAGTTTTCCCAAGAATTTGAAACCCATAAAGGTGAAGCCAGCACTGAATTAAAGGCCATCCTGATGTTAGCTGGCTACGTTTTCAAAGCCAGATTCAAGAACTTAAATTTGGTTCACGTTGTGATTTTATTTTGTCACAGCAAGTCATTTCATAACCGAAAGTTGAGAGATATTCGAATAGCATAGAATTCAGTTGGGTTGAACGGTATTGATAAAAACTGCTTTACAATTTATCAAGGATTGACACTGGCTTCTGTGGACACTAAAAGGACTTAATATCACTTTTAAAAAATTGTAGCACTTTTCGCTTTATTGTGCACATCATGACTGATGTACATGTACTTTGCAAAGATACCGGTAGATATGGGGCATATCTCCAGGAAAACTCCTGTAAGAAATGTTTTCAACGGTTTATGTTGCACGCTATGCATCCTACATGTACACGTGTATATATATGCAACAACCGTGCGGCATCTCCACATGAGACAACAACATCCACTAGTATCGAAACTGGCTTTGGCTCTTCACCGTTATGATCAAAAACAGAAGCCATAGTCGTAGGAGACACGACCAGAACACGACTCATAACCCCACAAAAACCTGTGTATTAACTCAGTGGTGCACAAGCAGTGATGGGCGAACATACTGGTACATGTACATGATGTGTTTGGGAAAAACATTTAAGTTAATAACATTTATTGGAAACTCTGTAGGCCATTTTAGATACCTTTCACAAAAACACATAATTAGGATTTACCACGTCTTATCTTAAACCTGCGCAGCACTTTTATTTTCACTTTATTTTATTAGAACTCGAAAAGGTTCTCTCAACACAAATCTACACCAGAACATGGAAGTAGAAAAACATGTTGACCAGAACCAACCTGAAATTGGGTCAAAAATACAACAAATTCCAACATGATACCGGTAACTGAGCAGCAAGCAGTGTATACAATTCAACAATTGATCAGAAACTGGATCACAGAAAACTGACGTTTTCGCACCTGCCTAGCATAAAACATACAAAATGACTCAGTTGCTGACTGCACACTGCCTCAGTTGCTGACTGTACACTGCCTCAGTTGCTGACTGTACACTGCGCTCAAAGAGTCTTACACTGTACGCGTACTGTACATACATGTACTGTAAGTCTACAACTGTGTATGATGTATGTGTGTGTCACCCGTGACATCCCTGTGCAAATATACCAGGACCAGTCTGGCCAAGTGCCATTTGACTAATGCATGACATGTATGTATAATCCGAAGGATTATCAAAGTCATAAATAGAAGGTGTAACCGGAAACTGGAGGCACGGCTCATTAAACGTGAAATGCTAAAACATGGGGCTTTATTGGAGTACCGGTACATTGAAACCCTGGAGGGTAAGTATCGTCGCATATCTGAAAAACTGGCGAATCGACCATTCTGGTGATTTTCAGATTTTATCTCAAGAACTGACGATAGTATTGCATGTGTGCAATAATAGGAAGCACTTGATGAGTGCAATCTGATGCAGGGCAAGTGCAGGAATTTTCAACCTGGGGGAAAATTGAACTACTGTACATGTACATGTAACTGCATTCAAAAATGACACAGCTGGTCGAATTACTTGCTTTTCTTACGTTTTTTCTTGCGTTTCTTGTCTAAAACCCCCACCTTTACCATACTGGTAGCTACTGGTGTAACACTGTTGGGTCATGGGTGATCATATGATCTGCACGATTGCCGTAGAATGCTGAGTGGGGTATGCTGATTTTGCATGAAATCTTGAACTTTACTTTCCTTTTGCGAAACAATCTTTCACAACCGTGAATAAGAAAGAAAAGGCTATCGGCTGATGGAGAAATTATCAAAAAATCAGGAATAAGATTGAGTGGTCGCATAATGGACGGCGACCAGCCCAATGATGTAACCTTGTTTCCATAGTTACAGTACGATCTTGCCATGCCATGTTGGCTCCCAGTGAAAGCACACGCGCACACAGCCAATGAAGTTGAGGTTGCCAATGAGGGGTACATGTACATGTATATCAGGAAAGTAAAAGGTCTGGATTTTGCCAAAAATACCAGTAGACGGTTACACAGTCTAAAAGCCATGCCATGAATTTTCTTAAAATCACTATTTGTGCATGTTTAAACTCTTCTTCAATGTAGGAGAACTGCTTGATATCTTTTTTGGGTTAACTGATCTGCCAAATGACCAAGCTTTTTCAGACAAGTGAGGGTGCTGTTGGTGTGATGCAAATCCAGGAAGAACACTGTTCAATTCGCATGCATTCATGTTCAAATTTTGGTCTTCAAATTTAGCCCTTTGAAAACATTTATTACAAAACGTTGCCCATTGGCTCATTGCCATACACTTATACAATAAAGTGGCAGAGGAAACGCAAATCTTCGATGTTGAATTACAAAAAAATCTAGCAATTTTTTGTGCCCAAATCAATGCAATATTGAGGCTCAGTGCCTCCGATTAGTATCACGATTTTGCTCATGAATATGGAAATTTGCATTAATATGAAACAAAAAAGGCCCCCAAATACAAATAAAACAAGCAAAACAAATATTGAAATTCAGGTGAATTAAAGGTTCCCAGCTATTTAAAATAAAACATAGTTATGGTGATTGAAAACATGGATAAGATACATTTCTATCACATGGTCCCTTTAATTGGAAAGATAGGCCTGCATGCATAAATTTAGTTTTGATAGCTTTTGGGGAGGAAGATTTGATTGAGAAGTTTTGTGCTGTTTTAGGCAAAATAACTGGGCACATTCAAATTTCCATATAGTTACAAACTAATACAGGAACTGTGAGGGTGAGTCACATGGCTCACAGTGCTGGGAGTGACGGAGGTTATGCATTGCTGGGGTCTTGGGAGGGCTATTCTTCGTTTTTCAAGTTACATGTACTGTACATGTATGATGTAGGTCTACAATGATGAACGAATGCACAAAAGGTTTACCGGATTCTACTCGGAGAACTCTGAGTCACTTCGTGCTACGAACATGAACTTATAGTAGCATGTCTGACATGTCTGGATATGGGAGAAACGGAAGTGGACAAAACTTACACATTTTAGAAGCTCTCAATTTGCAGTGGATTCAGCTAGCTTTCGAAAGTGTCATCAAGTACACAATGTAGCCCGTCGCATACGTGACCATGTATGTTCGTCGTAGATGTACGTGCACGTACGTACTGTGTGCAGCTACATATAGCTCGACAGTGGCGCGAACGATCAAATGCCTCGTACTTGTCGTAGTCGTACGCGAAGATTATATAGCGCCGCGTAGCGGCGCAAGATAGATAATTCTGCCATAAAGGTGTTATCACCCTGAGCGCCATTCGAGTGTGAACGTTAGTGCGTGTGCGTGCCTGTAGCGGCGCCTGTGCCTGTGCGCGCGCACGCGCATTGACATGCACTGCGCAGGCGTAGTTCAACCAGAATGGCGTCTATGTGATAACAACGTTTTACGTGTATTTATGGTAAAGTTAACTTCACTAGTTCCCCATCTTGCGCCGCTATGCGGCGCTATACGATCTTTGGTCGTACGTATACGTACGTACAGAGGCGGCATGGCAGAAGACGCACATGTGTTTGTAATAGCGTCCTCTGTTGACATGTATGTTTCTTGCAGGTTCTTTGGGTTTTAAAGTGGCGGGTTTGTTTACTTTTGGTTTCAGGAAATGTTACGCCCCGGCCGGCCCAAGTTGTGTGCTTCATATCATTGACATTAAATACCCATGTTTGATTTTTGGAACGTTTCCTGGTTTGAAACCAAAAGTTGAAGCATTTCTTCTTGGTTTTTACATCAGAATGTGGAATTTCATCTCTTAAAGTCGAAGCCTTTGCTGAGACGATCGAAGTCGAAGTTTTGAAATGACTTTTGTGTAAGTCCAGCGGTTTTAGTCCTTTTATAAAAACTGGAAACTCTGTTGTAATTTTATTTAAATGGGATGAAACTTGAAAGACTTAATATAAAAAAGTAGATCAAGACCGTTTAAAACACTTACAATCTTACAGTTCATATAGCATCGACATGTAACTGCGATAAATTATTTAATAAAGTCCCCTAACTTGGCGCACTTCCACTTTAATTTGACTTTCCTCTCACAGCATTTGCCAAACCTTTTTGTTGAAAAACCTGAAAGTCATTTGGTTAAATACTCATACTATAGTCCCCCCATGATACCATATATATATCCTATATGCCTATATATATCATATATAGGTGTTGAACCTCTGCGAACGTGAAATTTCGTCTGAAATCCAAAAATGTCGGCGTCCTGAAATTGGGCTCAAATTCAGCTGAGTGTTCCAATATATTTCAAATATCTCAGAAAATCCTACATAAACAGTTTCGAAATTCTTTAAAGTTGATTACTTCTAGTAAAGCTAATTCCTTCCACGTACATACCCATCCATAAGTTTGTCAAAAAATTATTTTCATAGTTTTGTGCTCATTTTGAAAGTATTCATTTTGCCATCGGAAAAAAAAATTGGAAAATCGGCCGAAAAGAAAAATTTCATCAAAACTTTGTAGCATGTTCATAATATCGCGATTTATGAATCAGAATATTGAGAGTTTGATGAAGTTTCATTAATTGTGGAATTTGAGGTAAAAATATTGCTCCGGTAAGACACAAGAGGCGAAAATGAAAGCGCGCCACGCCATGTTGTTAGGGATCAATTGCGCGCGCCAAGTGAAGGACATTAACTATATTATGCTAATTCATTAGTGACGTAATATGCGTCATTCATTTACGAACACGCACTCTGCATTTCTGGAAAACCGTGTGCCGAGGAGAGGCCATTTTGCACCCTGAGATTAGGACGAAAATGACCGATTTTCAGGCCGTCGCACCGCCAGCTTCTATCTCCAACGACGGAAAGTCAGCTTTTGCTGACGCAGTACAACGGGCTAAGCAGGTTTGTACGGATTATGAAGAACAAAGTGGTGAATTTTGATACCAAAGTTGGGACTTCTAAACATGCGGCGGGTTTATCTTCAGCCAGTGACGTAGCTGCACCACGTTCCCTTTGTGCATGACAAAATGTGCAGTGGTCGAACCAGTGAGAACGTGAGAACCGTGTATTTCCGACACGCGACGCGCATCTACCAAAAAGTAAAGATAGGCCTATTCCAGTATTCGGGTTTGACCATCTTGCCCCGTAACTACTTTAAAACAAGCCAGAACTGTAACTGTCAGTGGCTCTATTACTTGCATGATTATGAAGATGATGATTTGCAGATTTTAGACATGTCGACATAGGCCGCAATGTAGGCTACTCTACATATGTAGGCGCCTACATATGTAGAGTAGCCTACATTGCATGACCACGATGATGACACTTCGCCCCATTTCCACTTGGCCCTTGACGGGTGCAGACCACTAATTCAAGTGACAATTTCTGACCAGCTCATTAGCATTACAGGTGCCCCCCAGTATCTTTTGAAAAAGGAGACTGTTCGGCCCCCAAAATGGTGAGATT